CCTTTTTTCGTATCTCCTATGGGTTTCCAGATCGTACAGTGGATCGTTTTATGTGGCACACGGTGGACACAAGGTCTCCACCAAAATCCAGATCTGTGGGAATTGTTGTTATTGGAAATGACTCTTTTGATAGGACTATTAAGTAACTTTAATGGGGTGATTTATTCCGTTATATTAAAAACGCAGGGATGTCGGGCGGACTATTATTCACTTAAAAATGTTATATATAAAGTTTTAGAATTGTTCGAATGCAAGTTTTTTTTTGAATCACTCGATTTTAGTTAGTATTAAACGTCGAAGAAGCGAAATTAAGAAGGGCAAAAAAGAGGCGATTCGTGTATTTTGATCGACTATAATCCGGCGAATTGATATGCCCGCCGACTTGGCGCGTTGCTGACTTGGGGTGGGTGACGTGTACTGACGTAATAACCCGCGTCCTCTGCAAAATGCCGATCGATAGACAACCCGCTACCGTCGATATCAAACGGTCAAAGATGACCGCGACACGATTTCGTGACCTTTCGTAGAAAGCGGGTACGTATAGGTACGAGGGCAGCGCCAAAATTTCCCGGCCTAAATATGAAAGAAACAAAGTAGACTAACAATGTTTTATTATTTTTCAATATAATCCCCTTAACTTCAATACACGTATTACATCTCTTTATTAACAACTCAAACCCTTTAAAAATATATTCTTTTGGTTTGTCTGCAAATTAAGCTAAAACAGCCTCTTTTAACTCAACTTCGTCTTTAAACAGCCGTGCACGTAAGTCCTTTTTCAAATATCCAAACAAATAATAGTCGCTGGGGGCCATATCTGGACTCTAGGGAGGATGATCTATCTGTTGGAACCCACGCTCTAAAAGGGCAACACCATTGACAGTTGTATTACTTTCTTAAAAATCTATCAAAAGAATTCCTTCACAATCCCAAAAGATCGTGTTCATCACCTTTTTTGTTGACTGGCAGACTCTGAATTTTCTTGGATGTGCTTCACCCTTACGACGCCACTCCATTGATTCTTTTTTCCATAGAGGGTCATAACAGAGAACCACAGTTTCATCTCCCGTCACAATAGTTTCGATCACAGAGTTCAAAAAAGACCGCGCACACTCGACACGGCGTTGTTTTTGAATAGGCGAAAGGTTTTTAGGAACCCATATTGCACTAACCTTATGCATACCTAAATGATCATGCAGGATTCGACGAACACTTGTATCAGAAAGCTTAGTAATTTCTGAAATTTCCTTGACCTTTAAACGTCTATCACTCAATACCACCTCTTCTACAATCGCAACAATATCCTCCGTTATAACCTCCACTGGTGGACGAGTTCTTGAATCATCTTCAGGGGACTCCTGTCCCATTCGAAAACGTTTTGCCCATTCTTTCACTACAGAATACGAAGGAGAACTTTGGCCGTACACACCATTCAGCCTTTCTTTAATAATTTTAGGTGCTCACTCGTCTTTTGTCAAAAACGTTATTACTGCTCTATACTCACACGGACACGTCTTGTTTAAAATGCCGTCAATAAAAAACTATTTCACGCAAGACTTCATTTTTTTTTTCACAGCCTACTAAGATATATATTTAAAAGAAGACAAAGTTTTATCGTGATACTGGAGCTGCATCTATGTCAGGCCGGGAAATTTTGGCGCTAACCTCGTATATGCAACTGGTATCTACTGTCACGGGAGAACAAATAAATATGTATTGGATCATCGAGCGAATGGCGGATCGTCGTTCTGCGACCTAATTATGTATCTACGGCGAACGAACCCAGCGAACTCTTATTAGCTTAGCGTTAGTATAATATAAATACAGATAATGAAACAATCTTACTAGGTACTGGATATTCTGTTTCGCAATACCTGTTGTCGGAGAAAGCGTTCATCGATTTGACTTGTAACCCTTTTCCCGTCTTGATCACGTTATCTATAGTCTATTCCAGCTTCCCCAAATCTCCTAACCATTCGATTAATTGTTGAATGATTAACACCTAGTAAATTTTCTGATTTTTGGAATGGTATATTTCAGACACCCTGTGAGATAGAAAAAAAGTAAAAATCGCTGTTGATAGATCTTTTACATAGAATCCAGTGGTGTAGTCAACAAATTTTTGAGACAAACAGCTTTCAAGATATAGCCCAAAAAATTGTTTTCCCAAACTTGGAAATTTCATTCCCGATTTGAACCAAAAACATAAAGCGATAATCAATTTGATTAAATCCTTTTCTTAAAATAATATGAAGTCGTTCAGAAGAATCTGAAGCTGTGCTAAATAAAAAAAGGAAAGGTTTCACTAAATTTAAGCTTTAAATGACCTAGAACTTTATCTGTTCTTCGCTTTAGGCCTGAAGATGGTCGACATACGGAATCACTTTGTTCCATTTTAGACTATTTTAAAATCAAGCTGCCTTATGAACAGGATTTATTTTGGTTACTATAAGACAAAGGCAAAGATCGTTTGCCTAGTCGCCCTTGCAACTTAGTGGAAGCAAACATTATAGCAACAAGTTGAATGAATCTATTCGCTTTACAAAAACTACAAAAAACTCAGAATATCAATTTTTTCTGTTGATTTAGGGACCTCAATCCACTTTGCTGCTTCTTTTCGAAACCGTAAATTTACAATATTTGAGTTCATCCATCCAAGAATAGCACATTCATTAAGCAGTGCACTAGTCGCGGTCATTATCGTCACTTTCATTGTCCGAATGTTACCGGAAATCCTGATCCCGCTTCTGATGTCAAAAATTAAAATCGCTAGATCAACCACAAAATACCCAATCAAAAATCAACTATTGAAACTACTGAAAATCCGACATAACCAATGTGGGTGCCCGTGGGCACACAATGGACCAATTATGAATTAGTGCGCCGGTATATATTTTAAAAGGTCGATACCGGTGCCTTATTTATCATTTATCGTGACTTCGACAGCATACATATATTTCTGGTGTAGGCATAAAAACAACCACTAAATCTCAAATTTTTAAAAAGAAATTAACTAATTGATTGTGTTTTATAAGTTATTCAGATAAACCTGTCGACGCCCTTATCTTTAATTGTTCTGTACTCTACCATGTTGAGATTTGGGTGTTATTGGAAAGTTTATTTTTGATTCATATTATTTATCGGTCTAACCTAAACAGTTCTAATTCTGTTATTCGTAATATTGTTGACCCAGAGGGACTCGATTTGAAATTTTTTCGAAGTGAACTAAGACGTCTAACCCTATGTCGCCTCGGTTGTCATCAGCCCCCGCCCTCATTATTACTTCCTTTTTTTGCTTTCTGACATAAATTAGTATGAGAAAACTACCAATTTTTTTAGTCTAAACAACTGAAATTCAATGCTTGTGGTTACATTTAAATAGGCAATATTTTAAGTGTGTTTGTTCTCACCAAGATCTATCTCACCTTTTTTTAGTTGTGGTACAGAATTACTTCCGACCATACCTTTATCGATTTCTGACTTCTTCATATGAAATCAGCCTAAGAGCTTTTAATCTACGAATGTACCGAAGAACATGAATTCTAATTTTAAAATATAAACGGAACTTCATAAAATGGTCAAAATAATTGTAAAAATATCCCAATGTCGTAGGCAACTCTTGAATTTTCCCCTTCATCGGCCTCTCAGTTTATAAATATCACAAAGCGAAGAAATAGAAATTAAAACCTTAAGCAGAAAGGATCAAGGAAAACCCTCACCTGAGATGCTTATTTTTTGTAGCTAATAAAAGTCCCAAAACATCCCATATAAATTGCAAACCGGAAGGTACCCTTAAATCATAATTTTGTTAAATATAAATTTATTCCTTAGTTTGTGGTGGCTGATATTAAAATTAAAATCTTGAATACCATAACTCCGGCTAATCGGATAAAATTTCATAAGCGCTTTGTCGATGCACCTTTAACAAAGTAATTTCTATCAGAGGAGTCAAAGCAAACATATAAAGAACATTTTTTATTTAAATATCGTGTGATATAAAAAAAGATTGATATTATTTTACATATATTACATACATTATATGGGCATAACATTTAGAAAAATATTTTGATTTTTAAGAATTTTTGACGTCCACTACTTAGCAAATCTGCTTTAAAGTGTTGTTCGTGTTATAATGGTCATTTGATTAGTTCAAATTTTCGTTGAAGGTTCGTGAACCCTAAATACATTAATTTCATTTTATTTTAGATCTATTTATATTTATTTTATTGAAATCTTTTATTGTTAAAACCAAGCATTTGGGACTGATAAGTTCATTAAAAACTGAAAATAGTAAAGTGGAGGTACTATGAAAACGAATTTCGTTGTCATTCACAACTAACGGTGATATTTGCATAGATAACAAATTATTCTTTTCTGTTTCTCTCTTTGGTTACTAAATAGATATCTGACATCTCATCAAGAGTTTCTAATTCAGCATTTCCTTTATCTCCTCCTGGCTCCCTTCCTGATCAGTCCGGTCAGTCAAACTTTCGGTGGAGGTGCTAGGTAAAAGACTATATTCTTTGCGCACGAGTGTTTCTATTGTATATTCTGTTGTATAATTACTATCGAATCCGAAGAAAGATAAACAAAAAAGGACGGTTATTCTCATATGGGTTGCGGTTGTCATTTTCGGCCAACCGGAAAGAAGGATGTGTGACGTATTAAAGTCGTTAAATCCATCCATAATTATTATAGTCCACTTTATACTGTATCAAAGATTTACTTTTCATGCGAAAATTTTTGCATTAAGAGCCGACATAATAAAATCAACTTCAAAAGGTTTTTGATTCTCTCATGCTGATAACCTTGTTTTGAACAGGATAGATGATGTCACTATTCGCGCTAAACTGGTGCAAATAAATCACCGGTGTTAGTTTCAATCTAAGCCAAGTGTTCCAAATGAAAATAAATTAAAGCAAATATTTTTTACTTTTGTTTTCCATGGTCTGTGTTCTTATTGGAAATAAAAATTGAAGGCTAGTGTAAATAAATGTCTATGTTTGGCAACACTGGTTTCATTTCCCTAGTTTAAGATTGATTTGTTTGGAATAATAGGAAATAACGTGAAAAAAACCAACAAGTACGTGATTCCAAAGTAAATCACGACGACTCCAAACGATTGTCAAATCGCTGGATGTTTTGTTGTTGGTCCAAACAGGAGGACTTTGGGAAAGGTAGGCAGTATAAATTCGTTTATCCCCGCTCTTGAGGTGATTTAATGTCAGCCATCTTTAGGCCATTGTTAAATAGGCGTTAACTTGTGTTTTTCGGTAGGTCCGATGGCTGCTATCCGAAAAAAGCTCGTGATCGTCGGTGATGGCGCTTGCGGAAAAACGTGCCTGTTAATTGTATTTAGTAAAGATCAATTTCCTGAAGTGTATGTGCCTACAGTATTTGAAAATTATGTAGCGGATATAGAAGTTGATGGAAAACAAGTGGAGCTAGCATTGTGGGATACCGCTGGACAGGAAGATTACGATCGCCTGAGGCCTCTGTCGTATCCGGACACCGACGTTATATTAATGTGTTTCTCAGTTGACTCCCCGGATTCGTTAGAAAACATACCCGAGAAATGGACACCCGAGGTTAAACACTTCTGCCCAAATGTGCCAATCATTTTGGTGGGTAATAAGAAAGATCTTCGCAACGACCCCACTACAATCAATGAACTGAAAAAAATGAAACAAGAGCCAGTTAAGCCACAGGATGGTCGATCTATGGCAGAAAAAATAAATGCATTTGCTTACCTAGAATGCTCAGCTAAAAGCAAAGAGGGAGTACGGGAAGTGTTTGAGAATGCTACTCGTGCCGCACTGCAAGTGAAGAAGAAGAAGAAGCACCGTTGTATTATGTTCTGAACCGCTGCTTTTCTGGTTTATATTAATCCTTGTGTGATTTATAATTTACCGAGGGGGCTCTTTTTTGCATGATGTATTGACTAACAATAAACCCCTTATTTTCACTTATGTTATTTTTTGTTTAACTTCCTTTCCTGTGTGGACATAGTTTTCATGTAAGTGTCGTGTGTTTTTATTTAAATTCAGTTTTTATTTTTAACGCACAAAAACGTATGTCCACACCCACAATTAATTCGATTAGATTTATATATCATTTCTTTTTATATTGTACTATTGCATAGATTTACTTTATTCAGAACTAGTGGTGCGTATGTATTATTCCTATATATATATATATATATATATATATATATATATATAAAACTTAAAATGTAAATTAAAAGTTTTTTTCGCGGAGTTTTCGAAGTTGTTTCTGGAACTTGGTGAATATTGTTGTACTGCGTTAAATATTGATGTAATAGCTTTAAATTTTCCAATATTATGTATTCAGTGAATAAATCTGTTTTCCTATAAAGCGATCTATATATTGTACTTCAAACATAAAATAGCCAATTCTAGGAGAAAGTAAAAATAACTGAATAACACAACAGAAGCGATAACATTGAAAATATTTTTTATGATTTTGGCCAATTAGTATTTAGTATAATAAATTCTTTGCTGTATGAATCACCAGATAAAACAAGTCCGTTGCATCAACACACTCCATTTTCCAAGAATCCTGTTGATGAGCATTTCTCTCGCTGTCTGCCGAATAAAAAGCGGCGCACGCAAGTCCGAAAATCCCTATTGCGTAACTGACGACGACTTGCAGATACTTAGCCTGTAGAAATTATCAAATTTCTATTTTTAGTGAAGAGGCAAGGTAAGGGCAAAATTATGCTATGAGTATAAAGATAGGTGCGCGTCAGCCAGAAGCGTACATTAAATGCAACAATCAGTGGCCAAAAACACAATTAGAAGTGTTTGCTTTAAGGAAAATAGCGTTAGTAAATTACAAATATTTACTCAATGTTTTAAAAAATGTTTAACTTTAAATTGCCCCAACTGCTCTGGTTTCCACGCGCTCCCAAAGTTTTTCAGTTTGTATTAAATGTAAGATAAACTGGCCACCCCCTTGATGATTTGGCGTCACAGGTTGTTTCGGTTAGGGTGTATGTTATTTGTTATCGTTACGAAATTGTGGATAGGTAACGCTTGAGCTTATAATACATTAAATGTGACTGCAAACTTAAATAGAACAAACGCGACTGTCGCAATATATATTTTCTGAATTATTTAATATTTTCAGACAAAATTTAAGAACTTGTAAAAAAAATATAAACAGAGGAACGACCTGTGTGAATCACGTAGAATGTAATAAGCTAGATAAAGCAATAGGTAGATGATGGTAAGAAGAAATCTTGATAAGAAGCGGTGCGCAAGCACAGTCTAGGCATTTATTTGGTTGACATGGAGAATGGTGAACAAAAGTAATCCACAGCGTAAGTTTTATGAAAAAAAAATTGAATTTAAAACAAAAACCAGGAAAATATTTTAATATGCTATTCCAAACTACTCTGGCAAAGGCGAACTGACCCGATCGGTTCTGGCTCTGTTTCTTATTTTCATTTAATGTAAATTAAGAACGTACTTTCATTTTTTTCTCAGCACGTTTTTGTTAAATGCAATCGATGAATTATTTTAATTTTTTAAAGATGCCGACTTTAGTGTCAAATTTGGGAAGACGTCGTGCGAGAGTAAATATTTGTTTTAATTCATCTAAATAGCAAATGATGTTTCAGGATCTTTGAATTTTAAATTTAAACAAGTTTTTTTTTTTAATTACCTAGATCATCATTGTTGCCATAATATTCATAGCTAAATCAGGTGTAAATAGTACCTACACATTATAGCTTCCTCACTTGAACAAAAACATATACATTTATTTAATCACTTCTCATTCCAAACCATTCAAACTAGTTAAGTTTGAGAATATTTTTTTGGGGCAGGCTAACTGACTAACTAACTATGAACTGCGGACTGAAGTAAGATAAGGTAAGGTAATATGTATAAATATACCTTAACAACGTGTCCCTAAATTTCGATATCTAACTATTAGAGTCTGATTTTAGATTATATTTCGCTTTTTTACAAATTTTAAAGTTTTATGGAAGTGTTTACGCCGTAGCTTTGTAATTTGGTAGCCTTGTCGTAAAATTCGCCGATTTGCAAATGCGTAAACGATTTTAAATAAAGACTGTCAGTAACCAGTTTTTTTTTCATAAAGATATCTAATTATTTTTCACTATTTCAAGCGTTAACCAGTAAATGCCAAACTGCGCCCGCACCAAGCTAGGTATTATATATACAGCTACGCTGATAGCACAGGAATTTTTGTTTTGAGGCGACAATGAAAATACATCGAGATAAGACATTTACTATGCACATTTAAAATTTTGTTTTCAACCAATAAGACCTGGCAGAATATGTCCAGATCTCGTTAAATGCTTTGGGAAAACGAGTTAAGTGTGTGTAGACCGCCGTTTAGAAAGAAAATGGTACGAAGTTGCAGGTTAGTGGGTAAAATTTATAAGCATGCGCGGAGGCCATTTTCATCTCTTTAAAAATATAGCCGCCGAAAGCGGATCAATTTTTACTACATATATTACTATATTTTCTAACAGTTATATGCATAAACTCGATCACGTATCAGTTTGTCAATCCAATCAATTCAATCTACTCGCATAAAAATTGCTGCAGAGCAGCTGATAGAAAATGTTTTCTATAAAGAGTTTGAATTTCTTAAAATATTTTCGCTGTGTAGGGAAAACCACTTGAATAAATACACTTTATTACCTTCAGTTTAACACATAAATACATAAAATAAGGAAGAAAAGCTGCACTAAACTTAAGGCCTATGTCATAAATGTATGTGAACTAAATACCTTAAAAATCGTATTCACTTACAACCACACTGCCGTACGTGAAGATACGTTCAGATACATTTTTTAAATCTACATTTTGGAAGTAAACAGTCCTAAACGTTTCATTTAAGGATCCAATATTAATCACGATCTTTTAGACCAGAATAGCCTCTTGTTTAATGCGCTTAATAAGTCATAAAAAAAATATTGGTAAATATCCAACTAATTACAAATAAATACGCATTTTATCACAAATATAAAAACTACTAAATATAAAAATTACTTTCCGCGATGTTTAAGTTTATGACTTGTCTGTTATGAACACATAAAACTCTATGAGTAATGCCAGTATAATTTTTGATATGATTGAAGATATGCTACAAAATGAAATCAGTCTCCCAAACACTATGCAGTTGGCCAGGTATGTAATTACCATTTTACAGCTGAGATTGATATAAATAAAAGCTGTATAATCCTTTTAGAAAAAGAGTTCCAGTATGAGAAAAATGTAATCTTATATTGATTATCTATCGTTTACCAGACAAAACCAAAAAAATTAAAAATATTTTCAGATGTACCTTGCAAAAGAACTAACTTTTAAAACTTTAATACTTCAGTTACTTGATCAATTTTGAGAAAATTACCAGTCAGATTCATGCCCCTAACTTTGTAAATATAAACCTAAAAATATAAGATTGTCTTTGAAATCCAACAACTTAATAAATTTCAAATTCTCAAAAAGTAGAAAAGAAAATTATTTTTCTTCACTTGAGTTCCTCACCTACGGGGATTTAAATATATTTAAGAAAACGTCATTTGTTGTTTTAACATGGTTATATAGATTAAGTAAGTTTAGTTAGGTTAGGTTGTCTTATTTTAAGCTCAACTATTCTGGTAAAGCATTATACATAACTTTTAAGCACACATGAATTATAAAACTAAGCTTTGGTTCGATGTGAAGTGCTTTACCAATTTCTATGATAAAAAAAATCAAAAAGTCTTCTTTCTATAAATGTTCAAAAGCTCTCTAAGTTTTTGAATAAACTCTTTAAATTATTACCAGTTAAAGTAATGTGCTATTAAAAAAAAAGAAGACAAAATGGTGAGAAAAATTGGTTAATACTAATATAGGACCAAATGAACTGTAAGCCATACCCGAATAAAATTGCATTTGCCAATAAGTACATAAACACTGATTTCTTTCCTCCTGTAAGTAATGTTCTGAAAACTACAATGAATGCCTACTTACATGACCATTATCCTAGAGTTTTATATTGTTAAATGCAACTCTTATTATATCAAAACACAAATACATCGATCCGATATGCTAAAATTACAATTGTTCCTTACTTAACAACTACTTTACAATTATTAGTAAAATATAAACTTACGCGTTCTCTTACGTGTCCCACAAATACACCAGCTGGGAAACAAACTTTTCTTTTAAACAAGTAGAATGAATAGTTCCATGTTTGTCTCATCTCAACCAAGTTTAAATTTGAACACAGTTTAAAAAACACCATAATAAAATGGAAACTAATATTATTCGGGATTGCCTGCACAATGGAACACGCGCCGAGTGGCGAAACACGTTAAAAAGCAGAGTAAAGAAATGTCGTTTCTTTGGTATAAAGTCATGTAATGATGTTCAGGTTTGTTCTCCCACACAAAACTTTGGCGGAGGTTACGCTTCATGCTGCCTACTACCCTTACGCGTTACTAAGTACTACTAGTTAGTAAAGTACTCAATGGCAGTTTTAGGACAAATATTATTGTTGGTAAAAACTGAAATATAATTGTTAAGGTGGTACATAAGGCGGAGGTTTTCTATATGTAGGGGTGGGTTTTGGTCGGCCCTGCTTAGCGCCCTCTTGGGTTCGAGTGAACGGTGGTGGTGGCTGGTATGGTTCCGAATCATCCAATTTGACTGAGCCACTTTTGCTGTATTCTGGGGGGGCCAGAGGCGGTTTTTCGTCTTTCAAAATCACAGGCGTTTTTGTGCCAGATTCCGGTTTCTCGTCCAATTCCTCTTGGAAGATCACGGGAATACCTACCGGGTAGCCACATTGAAATGATGAAATTTGCTCCTAAGTTTGTTATAAATAATTATAAAAAAGGACCAAAATGTGTCTGAAATCATTCCAATCGAGTCTGTTGACTGGTTGATTGGTATCTTTTCTTTTTAAAAATAGTTTTTTTAAGATGAAACACAAAAACAAACAAAAATTGAAAAAATCTAACGAAAAGACACAATTCATTAATGTGGTGTCCTCCAAAAATAGCGCCCCGCCTGTATTTCGGAAAGTATGACTTGTATGGCCGGCGGAAAAGGTAGGAAGATGATGGGAAAGAGGTCATGACAAATTGCAGGAATTCATTTTCAAGTTCCTAGGACGGCTAGTAGATGGCGTAACTTTTAGTGGAAAAACGACGAAAGGCACTATAGTCTACGTAATTTTAATTAATAATTATACAGGAAATAGAGCTTAAAGAGTCAGCGAAAACATCATCTTGATATCTTTTATTAAAGTGAAGGTATTAAGATAAAATATCAAAGATGCGATTTTTACCAATATTTTAAGCTTTTATTCCTCTTTAAAATGAGCTAGGTTTGACCAGTTGACCACTCAATTGACCAAAATAATTTTAAAAATACAATTAAATTTATATTTATATTGTGCGTTAGCTAAACTTAAAAATACTGTTGCACTAAAAAATTTTGGTTAGCGATTTGTCATGGCCTTTTTGGTAATTGGTTCTTTTGCAGATCATATGGCTAAATACTTTCTTGGTGGGACCCCGGTACATAGATTTATAATTAATGATAATTATATTATTTTGTAATCTTCTATATATCTTTTAAAGTTTTATTGAGTTTGTATTCACATGAATAATGTACAGTATTCTTCAAAATCAGCATAGAAATTTAAAAAATATATAATGGTTCACAATGAACTATTTATTAATTCGTAATTATTGAGGACAATTCCTCATCTCAAACAAATTGGGTAATATGAGCCAGTAGTACAAAAAATATATGGTTACCTCTATTTCCATAGGATGAGGTTCCATTCTCTTCTACATTCATTTTGCCCCTCCTTCGTCTTCGGTAAAGCACGCAAGCGGCAAAGGCCGCCATAAACAACATAATAGCAATAATAATGGCGGGTATGATAAACGTTATCATAACTTCGTTTTGGGCTGATGGCGGAGTAACTTCCTCAGGATATTTCATGGGAATGGTAAATGTCGGCGCAACAGTCGGTATTAGTTGAGGTTTCACTTTACAGTTGCCTATGTGGTGTACCTTGATAGTAGATATCGTGAAATCGGGCGACATTATTCTGTGGACCCTGTTCGATATGCTCTTTTGATCGCTGTTGTGAAGGATGTATTCTAATCGCTTGATTTCGTCAGTCGGGCATTTCTCCACTGGCAAAGATTTATTAAACCATAACACAACGGTAGAATCGAAAGAGGGGTCGCGTTTTTGCTTAAACGGAAGGAAGTGGAAGTTGTTAGCTGAAGGTTCCTCAAAAAGCTCCTGGAATAAAATACACACATACCGCAAGCTGTTAAAACATTAACATGAATAAGTTCGGAACTACACAATTAATTATATCACGACCCTCTCCCCCTTAACTTTTCTCTGTCCAAACATCAGGTAGAATGTCGTTCCGTGTAATAGAAAAAATGTACAAATACGAAAGTTTATTTTTTTCTACTGAAAATTTGGTCGTTATTATTTGAACATAAATGTCAAATTTTGATTTTAATGATGAAATATAAAAAAAAAACTATAAAAAATTAAATAATGTGCACGAAAAATTATCAACTTGATAACTAACTGTTTGGTCATTGATTTTATTTATTATAATCATTTATTAATAGTAAAAATCATATCAAAGTCTTGTATAAACAAATGCATTAACCAAAATATAAAATATGTATCACTCAAAAACAAATCAATATTTCACATTTACCTCACTGCTCTGCAACCTTTTAAGCACAATAATTTAGGTTTAGGTTTTAACCGTAAAAAATTCCTTATACACAGATAAGAACCCCACAAAAAATTAAAAACTAGTAATTTCATTAAGTTATACAAAAAGCCTTACTCTACAATTACTAGTTTGCAATCACTTTTAAATTTCTTTATAACATTTGTAGTAAGGCTTAGATCTAATTTAAAGGGGTAAACTATTATAAATCTAGGTCCTTCTACATAAACACTATTTTGACAAATAGTGCTTGGGACTCTAAAGAGCAATAGTACTATTTTCTGAATTTCCCATACAAAGTCCATCACTGATATTTATTTTGTTATAATTAGATGTTAGCATAAATCTGACAACCGCTTTAGTCCATAATTGATTTATCGTTAGTACGTCGCTATCTTTGAACAACAGCTCTGTAGGATATCGATTATATTTGAAGAAATACTGTTATTAAGTACTTCCGAAACGCTTCTAGTTTTTTTAAGATTGTCCATCCATGTTCCTGAATAAATAAATCTGTAGATGAATTTTCAAATTTTATTTACAACATATTTGACTGTTCTCTCCACGTAACGTTTTTATCAATATAGACCTCTAATTACTTTACGCTCGTTTTCACATTTCTTATGATTTAGCTTGATAGGTCTAAAATTTGGCAAGGGCCGAGGTGAGAGTGAGAAGACGACAAAATATGAGCACATTTAGGGGTAGCAAACTAACCAGGATTTTATTTTTGTAGTGCAATCTCAGGCTTATTTTTTGTTAGTTACCATTCATCCTTATATGTAATGACCGCTGAATCATCAGCAAAGCTAAAATATTTCACCTACATCACCTTCTTTAATATAATGAAAATAAGTAGAGATATAGAAGAATTTGCATGCCATTGTATCACATTCTAAATATTTAAAAAATGCCAATAACTTTCTTATTTTTGTATAAGTAAATAACATCGGACGCTCTGCAAAACTATACGTATGCGTTAAATTTAGTGAAAAAAAAATTACAGAATTTTGTGGTCATTTAAAGGCGCCAGATAACCTTTATTTTTTATTATTTAAAATATGAAAACAGTTATTGCACCTTATTTTTGCTTCGACTGTTTTGGTTATTCTTCTCCATCAACAACTTTACAGCTTACAGTTGTCAGATTGATGCTTTTTTGATGACTTTTTTAATACAAACTTGAGAATTTGACCAGTACACTTTATATCGGCATGGTAACTGAACAGGGTGTTTGGCACCCTTACAATACATGCTTCAAGAAAAGCCAGTAAACCTGATCTAAACTGAATATCGATCTTGTGAGGCAAATTTTATTTAGCGGGAGACGGGCGATAATGGGCTTGTTTTCTTTGTCCTACACTTTAATACTAATGGCAGATAAGTGTAAGAAGAGATTGATTTACCGGTTTGAGTTTTATGAAATCATTTCAATTGTTCATTTTGTAATATATTTTGACTATTTTATACCTAATAATTTCATACTGGTCTTTATTAATAAAAAAAATTAAATTAAATTAAATTAATTGCACACCGTTGCAATTATGTATATGTATATAAAATTTATTATTTAAAAAAACATTTATTAATAAACACCAAAATGAAATTATGTTGGCATTGGTATATATAAAACTATTTGTTTAAAGTTCATTGCCTTTATTTGAATTATGCAGATTATAACAGATATAGTTCAAATAAAGGCAACGGAAATTCAAGTGTATCAATTTGTATGCGTTTTTTGCGAAGGTTTTTTAAGAAGTTCAAAAATTTAAAAATTTAACAACTAGGGCAAGACAAAGACAAGAATCGCCATTGCTAGCCTCACTTTTCTGTTGTAAAATTTCCCTCACTTGCTGACCTTTCTATCATACTAGGGCCATTACAGTTTAGATTCACTGCCAAGACCATCCACACTGTAACAGCCTACTTGATTTGATCTGAATCCTGATACCGATAAAAGAATGACATAAGAGCTAATAAAATTCTTACCATAAGTTTTTCTACAAACTTCTTCTGCATGCCGGCGTTGTAAGAGAAAGTATCGAAAGGCACATCAATCGTCATACTAAATTCAACGTTATAGTGTCGTTTGGCGGCCGGATTTACAATTACTTCCAGGCCGTCTCTGGCGCTCATGCCGCCGCTGTCGACGCAAACCAACCAGTACTCGGTCCTGCCGATTTTCCTTGGAATTCCGTAAAATTCACGATTCTTGCTGTCGAATTGAAGCCAATTCGTCGGGGGTATCGCTTGTAGATCGGAAGACAGTAGGGTTATGTTTAGCATAGACGGATCGACATCTTCGGGATCATAGAATGTATCCTACAATGGAGACACCATAGAAAATAGGTATGTTAGTTGAATTTTTTGGCTCACATCTTTGACTTTAAACACCAGAAGTTCTCCCAAAGTAGCATTAACTTTATCGACGGGGTTCCTTAAGATGGGCGAGAAGTTTGTGCTAGGTGTGACAGGTGGCGGCGATTGTCTACAAATACTCAATTCATGATATGTTACTTTTTTCACTCGTAAACTAGGTGCTAATATCAGACTTAGTTCTCTCGAAGGATCGCCTCTATCGTTGGCGGTTAGCATCTACAAGGCAATATTTTATTATAGGTTCAATTAGAAAATTTGATACTATTACCTTATACAGCTCTTCAATTTCGTGTCTAGGACAATGATTTGTAGAAAGAGAATCATTGGACCAAGTAAACGTGACTAAATCGTTAGTAAAGTTAATGTGTCTCACAGTTATTTCAGACATATTCGTGGCATAGATTCTGCCTAACGCCCTTAACACTTTTAGGGACCAATCTACATAATGAGGAAACTCTTGAGGTTTTTCAATTCTCAAGATCATAGAAAATTCGTGGTTAACTACCCGCTCTAATTTGTGCTGCTGGACTTGTATTGTTAACTGATCTTGTTCATTGTCACCCTCCTTGTCACTGGCTCGAACAACATATACCCAGTTTGATACATCTTCTGCTAATGGACTGAAAAATCAAAGGTTTTAAAATTCAAAAACAAGATGTTCTTATATAAACTGTTAACACTTGATAGGGTAAGCATACTGTATCTTTCACACCTACTACCAAATTTGAATATGGTTGATCTGCTTGTTACAATGACAACTTTTGGCGGGAGTTACCATCACCAGTTTTTATTTTACTTTCAGTTGTAACTTAGAATGTAACTAATCTAGATCTACACAAAAAATACCATCAAATTTGTTATCACTGATAGAGAGCCCTGAAAACTAAAATAAGAATAACTTAACTCAGAAGTTGTTTGGATTCACCTATATTTTTAAAATATATTGTTATGCATCCAGGACGTTTGTATTTTCATAGACAAGTAACAACTTTCTTATTTTAAGTTGATATTTCATATCAAGTGTCAAAAAATAATGGAAACGTGGGAATATCTTGAGAATTATACATTTGACCAAAAAACAAATGTTTCTAAATACTGAATAAAAAAAACCGTTGAATAAAACCAATCATGGCCCACAACCCCAAACTATTAACCAAAACAAAACTGTGGATAAAACGTGTCGTCTTCGTGATATAGAATCCGAAGCTGAAATAAAAATGGGAGTTTCATAAAAAAATCACATTTTTATATATTTTTATTTGAATGATGCAAATAATAAACATTTATTTTATATATGTTATTTACTGTAAGTATATTGTCAATTATTTATTTTCACAATTTAGAAAAAAGTTGTATAGACATAATTATAAAAAAAAATATTTTTATTTATAAAATGTCAACACAGAGCGCTAAAACACTAAAGTAGAAAAAAAATCAACCTCAAATATATAACAAAGGGTGTCAGTTAGAGAAATTGATGGTTATATTAAGGTCTGGAAATGTGATTTTTGACATAAAATTCAAAATATGTCAGCAACGGTTAGACTTGAGTTACATTATATACAAAATATATCTAGAAATCTCCGAAGAATTCAAAAATTCAAAAAGTTAATAAAATTGTCACATGTCCGCGAAAACCAAACATCACAATATAACAATTTAAATGTATGTAAAGCACATTAATCCAAACTATGTTTGGCATTAAATATACTTCATATTTTATACAGGTTCTGTGATCCCACCCGATACACATTTCTTCTAAATTTCAAATTAAACTATGAAGTGGGCAGAATTTCTGACTATACTTTAATAGTACTTTAAGTTTATATCAGTGGAGTTCAATTATTTGCAAATGTAATACAGGATTCCATCCATTGGGATTTTCACTATGCCATTTGGGTTCGCATGCCAATCCATACATATTATTTAAAGTAAATAAAATTATAAAATGTTAAGTACAAAGTAGGCCAAGCCAACTTAAATTTGGCACTGCAAGTAGAAATGTTTAAATTAAGCAAGTCGAAAATGGCCATGAATTTGTTTATTGTAATGAATTTTTCATTCTACAGAAATTGTATATACAAATAATTTCAAGTTTTCTGAATTATATTATAAAATTTAATATAATAAAACAAACCAAAGAAGCATTAATAATAAAACAAACATTTAAAAAAGGTATTCAAAACATGGTCGTATTTGATAAATCCTTCTGATAGTACCTTCTGTTAATTGATCTACAGTATGATAATTATTTCGTAATATTTCTTTTAATAAGGGTAATTGAAAACTCTAAAATCGATAAATCAGGAGAATTTGGTGGCCCCCAAATCGACCTGTCTGTGACTATGTAATACTACTGACTGGCATTATGAGCACCACCCTGTTGGAAATATACAGTTTCCAAGATGTTTCTGTCTTGAAAAATTGGCACTATTTAGTTGTATCATTTTAAAATATGTATGCGATGTTAGACTACTTCATATTTGTTAATAAATACAGATTTACCACTCAAAATAATTAAATAGCAGACAGCAGAAATACAGAATTTTATTTTCATTTAGCTAAACAACTAGCGAATGTGGCATATCATTGAAAAGATTAAGATTTGTTGAGGTTTTTGACTTAGGGGTACACTAAAAAAATATTGTATTCGCTAATGAATTCTACAAAGATCTATAATATTTCTCTCAAAAAAGCATTTAGCTTGAAATTATCCCGTAGCGTACAAATTTATAGAAATAACCAATTATAAGTTACGCATGTCACATAAAAAGTAGTCCAATAATAGCAGTTTCCTATAGGGAATAATAAATACATTGACAAAGAAGAAGGAAAATTGAAAATTGTTACTCACAGTCCGTACAATTCCTTCCTAAGTGGATTGAATTGAATCCATGCGTTTGTTGGCAACGGTTGCTCCTTGCCATCTAGCACTTGCAAAGTGAGGTTATAACCGTCCTCCGCATCTTTGAAGGTATTCTTCGGTATAACAAATCTAAATATTTTCCCTGCGGTTACTGACAAGTACTGTAACCGATTTTCGATGTACGGCCTGTAGTTTCTTGCAGGAATTTTATTGGCGGGTTCTATAACTTCAGTTACATATAATTCCGTTGTCCATTTGGGAATAGAAGTTGAAGATACTTGTCTTGTTGTTGTGGATTTCACAGTAGGTTCGTATAAAGTAGTTGTGTAATCTGTGCTAGATCCCAAAATTTCTGTAGCATTTTCTACAGAGTGTACTGTGGTTGAACGAGTAGTTGTCGTAGTTGTACTTGTAGTAGTAGTTGTTGCAGCATTTGAGGAACTAATGTAGGGAATTATAGTTTCTGAAGAAGTGATTATTGTAGTCGGATTGCTAGTAGTAGTCTCAGTAAAAATAATGGGAGGCTCAGTTTCATCAATGATCTCAAATGAAGTGGAATATCGCTTTTCATTTGCCGGAGTTGTCTGTAGGAAAACCAAAACAGGGGTAGTTAGGTTCGCTTTTTCTACAGTTTCGTTCACAATTTCCTCCTTAAACTCCAAGGTTGTCGGTTTCGTTGTGGAAGTTGCGGAAATTTCAGTAAAGGGACTAGTTTCTTCTGGAAGGTTTGAAACTGTAATTTTACTTTCCAGCTTCGGTATGGTAGTTTCACTTTCAGCTGGATCATCGTCATTATCTTCACTGTCATAAGCCCAATCATAGTCACTATCATCGTATTCCAATGCCTCATCAGGTTTAGGAATTTTGGTTTTTTCAGACATTGGTGTTGATGGTATGCTAGTACTCGATGTGGAGGTTGGCAAAGTTGAAGGTAGTTCTTCTTGAAACGAGTCTTTGCTGGAACTTGATAGCGGATGACTTTGGATAACCTAACGTTTGAAATACAACCACATAGAATAGATTACATTTCAATATAGCGGACATACCGAAATATTACTAAATTCATCATCTGGTTTAATTTCTCCATGGTGATGTCGATGGGGATGAGTGGTTGTTATCGCCAAGGTAGTGATGCGTTCTGTAATTGTTGGAGAAGTTGTGAATTTGCTGGGTTTTACGGATTCAACATCATCTTCATTTTCATCATCATAGTCGTCGTCATAATAGTCGGCATCATAATCTCCACTGCCTATGTAACAAATTCATTGATTAATAGGTACAATGTACAACAGAAAAGGTACCTGGAGCAACAATAATTGTAGAACTACATGTAGATAATTTTAATGCAAATTGGCAGCAACAAACTTACAAGCTTGTGTTGCTAAAGTGCATATTACTTAAAAAGATCATTTTAAACCAGCAAACACTGATATGAAGAACGTTAAGTACCGCATTTTGTATAGAAATCTGTTTTTATTTCTACATCTTAGATATTTAAACATAGCAACATGGTAGATAACACTATACAGAGCGATCCCCGCCTTAGCAATGAATTTTAAAAAAATATTACCAGAAAATCTGTCAAAGACCGATTAATCTAAGCACGTAAATCACACTGTATAAGATATAGAAAGCTATATTTTCGTCCTACCATAATCGTCAATTGTATCTCTCCTTATCCGAGAGTTAAAAGGGGCAACAGTCCTGATACGCCAACCAATAACTGGCAACGCCAAAACTTCGGATAAAGTGCCATCTATCGCCTGCTGTTTTAAATTATGGACAAGCGGAATAACCGATTCCCACAGTCGTCCGTCGCAACCGACTTGGACTCTTATTATGGAATTGATTTTTGTCGATCGACTCTGAACATTTCCCGGACCCGCCAAGATGATGGAACTCTCGGTAATGTCATCTTTTTCATGTTGTTCATCGAGTGTAAAGGCACCCTTAAATATTTTCGGCAGGTGAGCCAATAGCAAGTGAATATTTTTATCGTACTTACAATTGGCAATCCAAAAAATTTGGCAATGTTATTGACAGCAGCTACCCTTTGTTTGGGTTTAATAGCGTTCAAATCTTTGTCCAGAAGAATCGTTAGTGAAGTTACGTCTTCGTTGGACGAGCATGTATCTAGCTGTCGCTCGTTTTTAACTATACTTATAACCAACTCTTGACATAGTAGTTTCTGTGGTAATTGCTTGATGGCAAGCCTTAATGTTTTTATGTCTTTCGTCAAAGGTATTCCGAAGAACACCCCAGATTTAGCATCAAAGTGAAGCCACGATGGGAGGTATTTGCCGGTAAGTGCCTTTACCTATAACAAAATTAATGTAATGGTGTTATGCTGCTATATAATTAATATAAATCTTTCATTAAGGTTGGGTAGCTAACGACCTGATAAATAGATGTCATTTAAAGTTGTAGTAAATATACTCGATTTTTTTCCTCAAATCAAAATGTCTTGGAAATATTTTATACCCTGTGCTTTGGACACAGATTTGTATAAACCTTTTATCGTAAAGTGAACCTGTCAACGGCAGAGTGTCATGGCAGAGTGAATTGACATCATACAATTTAATTTAATGAGTAATTACTGGCGCAAAATAGCTCCAAAAGCATTTATGTTTTTAAACAAATAGTTGTGCTAGGATCCATCGGCGCGGAACTGCTAGCCCGATACATTATATCCATCAGACAAGCCCTTAATATTTCCGGGTGGCCCTTTGATCATATTCTAATGGCACATGATTGGGCGTTGGTAGAATTGGTTGTAAATTTGTGATTTTTACGATTTGAAAAGCGTTTTGTTTCTAAATATTAATTAAACAGATATTTTAAAAGCTTTTGGACCGTTTAGTGTGTAGGATTGCCAGTTATGATCATCCCAACTTCAGTTTTCAAAGGTAAGGCACACCTACTGTGACATCGCACAGGCTGAACCAAATCATGGAAAATCAGTTTTTTATCGCCACAAGCTTGGGAACCAAACCAAACCATAAATACTTATGTTGGGGTTATACTCATTTTATGAATAAATTGTCGTTTCTCATTTGAATATTATGTCTTTGATGCAAGCATAATCTGTTTATTTCAATATGACGTCACCAAAAGGCCCTTAAGCGTCATTATATTATTTACACTCGTTTCGGTGCCATTAAAAATCTCATTCATTTTTAAATTTCATAAATTCAAACATCAAAAAATATTCATTATTTCAAAAATAAATTTCAACAATCAATGGATATTTTTCTGGGAAAAGCGCAGTTATCAAATATCTCTCTATATCAAGGCAAAACTTTCATCATTTTATTACGAAATAAAACAGAGATCGATATCATGAGATGCTCTAAAAATGACGAGTTGTCAACCTACTCAATAAAAAACTAATCGTTAAATTTAAAATTCACAGAGTTTGTGAGATTTTTTTTTAACTTAGATAATTCCACATTCCCAGACTTATTTTTTTGTTATTGTGTGGTGTATATGCCGTGTGCCGATTCTTCCAAATTAGGAAATAACCTCTTTAGTTATATTTATTAAAAATTGGACACACTATTTGAATACTTTGTATGAGGCAAACAAAATTAATTAATACAGATTTGATGAGTACCATCAATTCGTAACCACAAAACGCTAAATATTTCCATAACCCTTATGGCAAAATACAATGTATATATAATTAATTTTTTTTTAAATATGTAAAAACGTATAGAGTGTTTGATAAGAAAATTTTTGAGTACGAGTAAGACCAAGTTACTCATAAAATTCGAGCGCCAGAAACGGACTCTCAAAATTTTCTATCTCGCCAAATAAGATTAAGAAAACAACTAGTGTGGTCCACCCCGTACATAGACGGGATCATTGAGAGATCTACAAGTCTTCTCGGTTCCTCCTGCGTCGGTCGTTGATAAATCGAACTTGCTGACGTCTCGCTAAAATCCTGTTAGCTCCTTCAGAAATTAGCTGAAACTGGATGATTCGCGGAACATCAGCAAGTTTGATTTATCACCAACCGCCCCAGGAGGAAATAAAATTAATAAATAATATTTCAATAGCCTGTGAAAGTTTCTTCGAAAAAGAAAAAAATCGAGAGAATTTTATTTGAAATATTATTTACCGTTCATATCAGTTTAAATATTCATCTGTATATAGACCGCAGTATTTTATATCTCGCAGAGTAATTTAGAAGATATAAATTTAGGGTGTATTATTTTATTTTTATACTTACAGTGTTTTACCAATGAGTTATTTCTAAACTCTTATATAAAATTTCTATTGCACATATTTAATAAAAGTTGCGAGTTCTGTATAATACTTAAAGTACACCATCCTGCATCCTGCATCCTGAACTTGTTCCTATCTTTCTAAATAAAAATCTTGAAAATTTACACAACGGCCCTGTGTACACTATTACTGGACAAGAAAATAAATAAGGTAAGTCAACAATTGGAGAGTGATTTTTAAAAGAAGGTTTTCGGAGGAAGATTATTTTTAGTTAGTTAGTTTCGGAGCAAGACAGCACGATATTTGAAATAAAAGATCTGTTTGAAAAAGCCATCGAGAAAGTGTACCAGAGAACTAACCGAAAGCATCAAGTCATAAAAGAAGAAGAGAAAATGTGTGACCTTGACTCACTCAATCACTTAATCGATCGTACGTTGACCCGTTAATTGTAATATAATTTGATACAAAATAAGGGTATCTAAAACTATGTACATAATGATTAATTTTTGCGAGTATTTTACCGGGATGACTTTGATTGATAACAATGGACAAAACCCATCTAACCAAACTCGGGCCGTAGTCAATAAAAAATAATAATTTTTATCTTTTTTAAAAGTACTTCTACATTTTGGTTTGTTTTTTAATTTATATTGCAAATAAACCTTAAATTATTAGGAGAACCAAATAATTGTTTAAAGGCTTACCTCAAATCCTTGCGCGTGCGTTCCGTTGCAATTCCTAGGCAATACGAAATGGAACAATTTGCCAACCAATGCCGTCACCTCTCCGGGTGCCCAGATTTCCCGGGAAATGTCGGTAATGCCAGCAGCTACATTTTCCGGAAAATCAAAGGTAAAACCATCCTCGCAGGTTACTTCGTCAATCGATGAAATTATTGTTAACAACAGAATTACTGTACAGGAAGGGTTCGAAATGCCAGCAAACATGTTGAACCGAAATGTTTATAAAGACATATCTGAAACAAAAACCAGAAATTATTACCACTTTTTTTTATGTAGACATAATTGGGTACGAATTAACACGAGAGCACTTTGCAAACCAAAACGAACCCAAAAAGCGGTTTACGATTTAGTTAGTCTCTTCCGTATTCGTCCGACGAGCCTGCTCCAAATCACGGCAGTTAAAAATCAATAAAAGACAATTTATGTGTTAATTATTTTTTATTGGGATATGCAAAACATGCATCAACCCAATTACAGAACGAGGAACAAATAAATGATGCAAATGGCGCTTGGTTCGGCATATCTGCTGTCCCGAGTGAGAAAAAAAATCCCGTTCGCAGCCAGGTTTGGAGTTTCGATATTTATGTCTAAGAGCTGCTTACGGAGGTGTTATTACGGGGGATTTCAGTATTAGATCTGTGTATAACTTATCACTTTTATCAGAAATTAGCTACAGAATTACAACTAAATACTACTTAAATTGAAACCGCCTTTACTAATGCAATGATATTAGTAACTTCAACAAACACAATTAATTTTTTTATAAATTCTGGAAGCCATTTAAGAAATAAATAAAACATCTGCAGGAATAATTTATTTGTAATTATCAAGATTCCCATGAAAACAAGTTTTGTTTTTATCTCACAAAACTCTAGGTATGTACTATGTACATAATGATTTGTTATTGATTGATTGAAGTCTCTTGATTGCCAACCATTTTAAATAGTTTAAATTCATCGATTTATAGTGTCTAGAAGAAATGGAATACGAACCGGACGAAAAATATCAACTAATCAATCAAATAAAATGACAGAGCCTTAACAGTAAGACAAATAAACTCATCCGCAGTTGCCGAACTCAATAACGAAACCGGACATAATATTTTATTCGATAAAACTAAAATTCTTGCATGCGATCAATTCTTCTACCAACGAAAAATCCCACAGTCTATAGAAATCTACAAACAACTTAACAACCTTAACCGCGACTCTTTATCTGTCACCAATTTGGGAATCAGTCATCCGAGACGATGTCTATGCCCCTCATTTAGCTTCGCCATCCTCAAACAATATATAAGCAGGTACAGAGTAAAATGCGAACCAGCTTCAGCCATGCTCTGAAGAAGCCAACAGGATGATTAGCGAAACGTTAGCAAGTTCGACTCAGCAAAAACCAACGCAAGGAGGAATTTAGAAGTTTTGTAAAAAGTATTACACTAGCCTGTGGAAATTTCTTTGAAAAATGAAGAAAAATATTGATTATGTCAATACACATTTTACTACATAAATAATTCAATAATTGATAAAATTAGTTAGTTTTCAATAACTGGTTAGTTTTGGTTAGTTGGCTAAACCTAATTTTTAATGAACAAACACGCTATAAATAAATAAAAAATAAGAATAAAGATAAATAACAACATTTTATTTAGATCATGAATGTTTGGCATCCTAAATAATAAATTAACAACCCATAAAGTGGAAATGCTTTCACAGGATGATTGATAGCCTTAAATGTGTTGAGCCTTTCCAATACCTGCCACCACTTTTCAACTCGAGATAGAGCAAAAAACATTAAACGAAAAAAATCTTAATTTGTCACTGCTCTCAAACGGAGTGCGCGTAATTTCAGAATGGGACAGCACATGGCGATTGCTATTGTTCGGCTGCGGTCGGCCGGCGCCGTTGCCTAGGCAACCAGCGAATGTCTTCGTCTCCCAGCAGTGGCGTGTTTCTATTTTGTGCGTGTTTATGTTGCTTGATTTTTAATATTTAGTAGCTGATTATTCTTATTTCTCAGGCAATTGTTTTAGTAAAGGGAAAGTGCTTTATTAAATTTAAATTCTGCGCCGCCACTGCAAGCGGTCGAGTGGAGTCGGGTACGCGGACGTCACCAATCGGTCACTTGATAGTGTCCCATTCTGAAATTTCGTTTCTCTATGTTTAATATACGAATATTTTTCAGATACCGGGTTGTTTTAAAAACAATTACTCTTTCGCCGCCAGCCATGAGTATGTTGCCATTAAATAGTTGTCAATATTTGTCAAGTTGATTTTGCGCTTTTCATCTAGTTCAGAAGTAGGGGTTGGTTCTCTGTTAAAATACTTTAATTAGGATCACCCTGCACTAAGATAAATTGTAGCTAACATCGTAATTTTACATTAACCTCGAAGATTACTATTAGGTTATAATCTTGTACGGCATTAACAAAGGTAAATTTAATTGAATTTCTAAAAGTCGAAAACTAATTTTATATATAAAGTACACCTACCAACTAAACATATTTGATGTGAAAGAAGTTAATTTTCAACAAACGTGGACACCTCATCTAAATGCAACTTATTTTAATTTAATTTGAATAGCATCAATTTATTCGCTTAGCTCAAAACTAACGGCATTTTTAGTTCTCCCCATGGAAAATTTCCAGGGCGTCGGTAATTATATACTGTGAAATTTTGAAATTGGCTATCCGCGGAATCGAAATTAGACGAGAGTCATAAGTTTCTCGTGCAAATTAAACAATTTATACTAAATCGACGGTCAGCTTAACAAATGGACTTGCTGCGTATTGACGTCATTTTTATTTTTACTTTATCGCATAGGTTTCACTTCTCCATTTCAGTTTTTGAATTGGGAACAACTGTCGCAGGCTTACTAAAATCTATCTACTTTAATCGGACCACGACCATGTAATTAGATATTAATTATAGCATAATAAACTTTGGAAGTAAAAATCGTTTTAGAGATTTGCGAATTACACCGCCAAAAAAACGACAAGCTGACTTATAGTAAATACAAAATGCCCCACCTAGCGGATACTTAAATAAATAAATAAATAAACTTTAGAATAACGCCACAAATAAGTATTTTATTCTGTCCCTGTGATCTACTAAAATTAAGTACAGTAAAGAGTTATTTAAAAAAATAAAATAAAATTTGAGGAAAGACATGTTTATTGGACAAAAGTGTTTATCTCATTTATAAAATTAGGCGCGTTCTATGTATCGGATATAGATTTTCTTTGTAAAATGGCCCACTTAACATAACAAATAATCGTCATAAATAAATAAATAAATAAATAAATAAATAACAGTCCGAGAACAAAATTAAAACGAATTTTGAAAAAATAATAAAATTCATACATAGTATAGCAAAATTAGATATTTTAGAAGAAAAAAATTATAAAGTTGTGAAATGTTGGTATTGAAGCGAAATACAGGACCGAGGAGTACTCCGGTGGAAGCCTGATTTCGCTCACAAAATTACCCCAAAAGGGACCCACCCTCACTTCGCTTTTGAGCGTTTTGTTCGGAAAGAGTAACGAGAAAATGTTATAGAATTTTTTATATTGGCCTATAAATTATACATAAAATTGTTATGTAACGTCTTCGCGAATCTTCCACCAAATGCTTATAAAAGCCCTTGGAAAATAAACACAGTTCTCAGCGGTAAAAGAAAAAAATAACCCAGCGCCTTTTTTGCGGCGATTATCTCGCGACTTATTAAAGTGAGCACAAACTTAACACAATCGAAATTAAAGCGAAGGTTCTTTCTCTAAGACGGCCACATAAAATAAAATATCATAACAAAATAAAATACTGTTCTTTTGGCCTACTTCATTAATGAAATCATCTGTTACAGCCACAAGATACTGGAGAATTGAAGTTGCAGCTGACGCTTGAGTATTAACCACTCTCATTAGAATTTTGTGTCTAGTGAAAATTTCTCCCAGCTCTTGCAATATCATCTTTTGCCATTGAATACGGCGACCAAAAACGGCAGAAGTAGTGTCGCAGCCATGGGCAAATAAAATATTAATTTTGAAATCCTTTGAAATTGTCTAATTTTTAAAATCAGGGGAAATTTATAAGCCCTTTTTTGCTAACAAAATTTCAATCAACAATAATTATCGAATTTAGAACCAGCATAGTTTTTAAGTCGGTAAAACTAGTTTGGCGCGAATTTTGATCAATTCCCAAACGATTTGGGGTATATCTTTCTAACTAAATACTTAACTTAAACAAAAATATACTTGATTATTTTTTATAAAGATTCTACTACCTTCGTCACTATTCACAATTATTAATAAATTTATAACCCAAACCAAGAATCACGAATATAGGTTCTACCAGTTCCCACTGAATAGCAAGTATGGAAATTACTGTTCTGAAATCATTTCAAAAACGACCCCAAAATTGGTTGGAACGCAAATAGAAACACTTGATTACGGCTGCGACAAACTTATTATGTCCAAAATATCGTATATGCCACGAGCGCAAAATGTATAGAAACGATGGAACATCTCAAAAATTAAACAATTGATGAAAAAAGAAAAATACTGCTTTTAAATATCAAATAAAGAAACTATACAACAACACCAAAGATTATCACCTCCAGATTATCACCTGGCAGATTCTAATTCTATGTCACAAAAACGTCAGAAGTTTTCTTTTGAATTCTCGCTAGATGTTTATAAATAATTGTCTGAAGAGGTTTGTTTGTAGAGGCTCTGTGTTGCATACTATACTTTTCTACGCGACCATTAGGTATTAGGTATGACGTGGCCATCAGAACTGGCGTCAGCGTTTTAAATCTATCTAAAATAAGATCGCTTTTAACCAGTGACTTAAGTAACGGAAAGCTGGAATTTTGTGTGTTACTGAACAGTTTTTGGACAGTGAACGATGTAATTTTCGAGATATTGCATCATTTCCATACTTTCTGTTGACTTGGTATATATATATATATATATATATATATATATATATATATATATATATATATATATATATATATATATATATATATGTAATGTTACTGCGTTTATTAAAAAATATCACTAGTCCCATGTTTAGTTAGGGCAAAATTTGTAAATGTGTGCTTACTTTGTGAAGTACCTATTAAAAAATAGTTAAAAAAAAAAGTGTCGCTTACAGGTTTTTTTAAGATTATTCGTCCAACTTGAGGGAGGCTGAAGAGCCACTGATTTAGGGCAGTTTTATGAAATTCTAAACGT